GCAACATTGCAATACCCCCAACCCCCAAAAAAAAGATCACGTTAGAAACAAAATCGCTGAATTGGCTCAAATTCTCCAAATTGCACGGTTTGGCTCATTATTATTTTATTTATTTATTTACTTGCTACAATGGGAGGAGATAACTCGCGAGAGATTAAATACAAACGTTCTCTGAGTAAGAGACTCCTTTTATGTCGTGCTCAAGCCACGAAGTGACACATGGGGGTGGAACTGGAAGCTGATGGAAACCTAGAGAAACCGAGGTTGCTGAGACGCTAAGTAGTCCGCAGCAAAATTCGCCTCACAAAAGATGTGAGAAATGTTAACCTTCCAGTTTCGACTGAGAAGCCCTCTTATACCTATGATCAAACCCGAATGGACCCTTTCCATATTCTCACAATTATTTGTGAAACCCTCATACGTAAGAGTTGTCGACTTCAACTTCTACCGACGATACCCCAAACTTCATGCTAAGTCAAGGCCCTGGAATAAACCCCATAACTGGTTATTGAGCATTCCCCAATGTTCATCATGAAGTCGCCAGCCATTTGTCATGGGAGTCACGAGGCAACCTTCCCAAATAAGCCATGCATGAGAATTTATTATGTGCTCCGTCTGAGTTCACCTTTATCCTTGAACTCAGCCGATGTTCCCATCGGACAAGGCGATGTAAACGAGATGGTCCTATACCAATTTTCTTTGCCCCTTCGGCGAAATGTAAAATACTATTGACATAAGCATTGATTCCTTAACTTTGCCAAAAGTATCTATCCCCCGTTCTTGAAAGGTAAAGATGTTTTTCCAGTGCCATAATTTCCAGAGTTACGCCGAACATACAATCTCAATTTTTGGTATCGACATAATTTCCCAGAGTTAAACCAAACATACATTCTCTATTTCTACAAAACTTAAAAACACATTCCCTTGGAATTACATCAGACCATTAAGGGGAGCATAAACAAGCAAACACAAAAACAAATAAGACCCTTTAAAAGAAAACAACAATAACAACATTACTCAACAAGTTTCACCATATCAAACTTTTCACCAAAAGCCAAAAGGCATTCATAGCAGTTGAACCAAACTTCAACAGTAATTGAGTAATTCATATCAAAAGGGATGTTCCTAATTAGAAACCGATGCCATTCATCATCACACATGCAGTTCTAAATTCCTAATAATAAACCCATTCCATCATTTGTAACCTAATAATATACACCCCACCTTAAATCTTCACAACACTTGTCAAAAACCTCGTTTTCGATGCTACACTAAATACACAAACTTCATGCTACTATTATCAGATTGGTGTGACAAGTTAAACACACTCAGATTTTTGCAAAGCTACATTATTAGGTATCATTATAGGTGTTTGTGGTGTCATTATTAGCACAAGCCCTCGGGACTTTGGATGCGGGCTCGGGATCGGGACTTTCAGGCGAAGCCCTTTTGGTTTTCATCTGCACGTAAGGAAAATAAATCGGGATTTAATTTAACTGGAAAAAGAAAGGGTCTTTTAGGCTAAAAGACCTATTATTTGTTGGGTTCATGAGAGAGAATTAGGAGAAAATGCTAACCTTGTCTGCTCCGTGTTGATAAAAGTGGCGCAATAGAATGTTTTTGCTCTCAGTAGCGATGACTGAAACGTGAAAGATGGGATTGAAAAAAAAAAAGGAAACAACACTTATGTGGCATGCACAAATTGGTGATGTTAATATGTTCAAAAAATACATCACCAATGTATGTATGCCACATAAGCGAAGGGCATATTAACACGTGTCCACCGTGGGTAGGGGAGCATTACTGTTAATAACACATACACCCTTCTAGCTTTAGCTTCGTTGAAAATAACCCAGCTATCTTCTAGAATTAGGAATATTCCTTCTAGAATTAGGAATATTCCATGAGATTTCGGTTTGTTCTACTAACATTACTTTCACTAGAGAAAACTCGTAAGTAGCGCTGCAAACGAGCCAAGCCGAGTCGAGCATTGGCTTTATCGAGCAAGATTGATTTTTTCTTACCTGCTCTAGCTCGATTTAAGACGCTCGAGATCGACTTGTTGACAAAAGAAGACAATCGCTCAAGCTCGGCTTGAGATCGATTGAAATCAAAATGCTCAAAAGATTGCTCGAGCTCGCTCGAGTTCGACTCAAATTTCAAGAAACCATTAAGTACATATATAAAATATTGTATTCATAATGTGTGTCGTTCTGATAAGTTATACGGTAATTAAGAATATTTTTTTTGCCAATAATAACCCTCTTTAATGAAAATAGAAATGAATGTTTGGGATAAGATGAATAGTTGATATGAAAAGGCGTGATGTATTTGTTAGCTAAATGAGGGTGATAATGGAAAATATGTACAAAAGATCCAAAATGTCATTTATTTGGTTAATGGTTGATAAAGCCGAAATGACACTTAAAAAGAATAGGACGGAGTATTATTTATATATAAGGGGTATTTTAGTAATTCACCGACCTTCCAAAACCTATGCTCGAGATCGACTCGATAATACGCTCGAGCCGAGCTTTGACTCGAGTGCTCGTGAGCGGCTCGCGAGCAGCTCGGTTCATTTGCAACACTACTTGTAAGACATAAAGATAAAGTCAAACGGTATATTTATAAGGTGTCCTTCGTATTTAGGCTAGCACCAAGATTAGTATTTGCAAATTATTTAATTCTTATACTTTATGTTACCTTGATCAGGTGATGGGATTGTCCTGTCATGAGTTGGACGGTAAGTAATAGGCACCATTTTCTGAAGACAAGCAGCAATAATTACTTTCAGAATACGAGTGTAAAAGGTCACAAGTGAAACAGATATATGATAATTTTTCCCATATAAAGAAGGGTGTATGTATGCACATATAGTATAGCTCTTGAAATTTAATAAGTGAAAAGCTGCCATGAAAAAACTTGATGTGTACTGTTCTGCATTTGGATGAAACTGATATTTAAGATAACCTCGAACGTCAATCACCAAGAACGAGCGAATCAATGTACGGCATGTGATTTTTTTTCATCAACTTACACAATTGTAAAATTCAAATATTCGATCGGAATTTTAATCATAGAATTTATTAACAAATTGTTTAGGGTATGTTTGTTTATAAATTTTCTCAAAGAGTTCACAATCAGACTAAATCAAGACAAGAAAACATGTTAAATTCACAGGACAAACTAAGCAAACTGTGGAGGATTAAAATACTAAATAAAAATTTGTAATATCTGAAGCAAAGTCCACCTTGCACCAATAGATACATTACATAAAAAATAAATATAAATCAGTACGTTATATAACCATAATTAGACATCGTATATAGGTACACTAAAGTATCGTGTAAACTGATATGAATGTACAAGTACATTAATTCAAGACTATGAGTTACATTACACAAATGATAGAGTAAATAAATATACGATTAGTACTTAGATACATTACATAACTAAAATTATATCACTTTTAAGACAGGATCCGAAAGTGACAAATTATATGGGTGCATTGTTCACTACGCCACTCTGCATAATATTATTCAAACAAACATAACAAACTTACAAATGCGAGAACAAAACAATAGCACATGTTTACACCTAAAAAGGGAAATCACTAAAAGATATACACGAGAAGTAGTACCTAGACATTTTTTTTCACCAACGAACAAACATAGTCTGCTTCTTACCCCAGCAATCATAAAACGATCACATTGTGCAAACCAATGTGATTTTCCATAAATTCAACTTCCTTATTATGTAATAAAATTTAGTTTACATAATTACTCAAAGCATATAAATCATATTAGCTGCATTTGTTTTGAGCAAATAAAGTTCATCTCAACAACCAATAATACGAGTAACTCTATAACTCTATATTATCGGATCACTTGTCGTCTACTTTACACTCGTCTTTAGTACGACAAACGAAAAGTCCCATTATCCAACGTGTATTGCACATCTATCACGTTACACGTGTCGTTTGTAACATTATACCAACAGTAAATTAACAATCAACAACTTCAGCCTGTCAGCAGAAAACATATAATTGTGCTCCGGATACTTTTCTACATGTAATATATAAATAGTAAAGGCTGCAGACCAAAACTGAGATCAACCTTAGTGATACATAATTCTCCCATTACAAGCTACCAAACTCCACAACATTAAGCCAGCATTTTCATCTTAAATATATAAACCAATTCTAGAAGAATCTATAAAGATCTATATCCTCAAATAAATTTAGAGCTATTTTACACTAGTCAATTGATACTTCAAATAAAAACAGAAAAATAAAAAGTGAATTCTACCTCACTCAAGTGTTCATCTTTGAGTGAAAAAGCAAAGCAAATACTCACCCCATCAAAGCAAAATCTTGGAAAGGTTCTTATAAAATATTACATGTGCACACACGAAACCCAAAAAAAAA